CATACCAAAAAAAAAGAGAGAGAGAAAAAAAAAAAAAGAAAAAGGGAAAACTGTGGTCGAGCGAAAGTTTAGGTTGAAACGGGGTGGTTGTCGATATTGAGTGAAATAGCGGACCGCTTTAAATCCTTTTAACCACTACAGGAAACGTGCAGCCCGATAAAACAAGCGCTCTATAATTCGGCGACGAACAATGATCGCGTCGATTCGCAATCGATAATTCGATCGAGGTTTGGCGATCGATCGGTGTCTAGACATCGCTTGAAACGCCAGTCCAATTAATTCGGCGCTATTGTGCTTAATCTACCGACCGGCGATCGTTTAAATTTATTCGCAATTTCAATATCACGGTGTCAACACGGTCGTCGCTCAATGCCTCGTTCTTGTTACGAATCGCCGATATTGAATTTAATCGGGCCAATTCGGGCGGACCGTCGATTAGAAGGAGTCAAGTTCAACGACAAAGAAATCGAAAAATACAGAGTGATCGACGCTATGGAATGAAAGCGCGTCGTAAAAGAAAGATAAAGATAAGATCGGAAGAGAATTATGAACAAACGATCAATGACTGTTGCATGAAACATAATCGACTGGCAGGAAAAAGGCATAAGTGATGTCTAACGAGCAACGAGAAGATCAAAGATGTAGAAATATATCGGCAAAGTGATTCTCGCCGCTGACTTTCATTTGGAAATACGAGGCGTTTGGAAAATCTGTAATTACACCGCATGGCTGACCATTGACGGACATATACTACTTCGAAGCTGCTAACTATTGATTGTATTCCCGGGATGCACGCGTAATGATGCGTTTAGAACCTAAATTTTAGTTCGTTCGTAAAATATGTGTTTGTTGTAAATAGTAATTGGTTTATTTACCTAAGCCTTTTCAAATTCAGATAATAATCACGCACATAAATTCAGAAAAATCAATCTCTAAAATAAACATGAAATGTATAAATAATATATTGTACATGTATAAATGGAAAGAATATGTCCAAAGAAGTAGGTTTAGAAGTAGGTTTAGGTATTTTACCTGACAAATTGCACAAAGTGCAATAAAAGCAAGAAGAGAACTGTTAACGAATGAACAAAAATTTCAGCAAACTTCATAGGCATTTGAATAGCTAATAATATTTGCTACAATTAGTATAATGGATTTTTAAAGAAGGTAGGACATACATATCTACTTAGCTGAAAAGAAGATACATATTAATCAAATTATGACAAATGCAAGCAACTTCATTCAAATAATTATTACGTTCTTCGTACATTCAACGTTTGTCGCGATGTGTTTAAAATCAACAAATGAATATTTGTCTTTACCCGTAATGTAATAAGACGAGCACAAATTCGATCGTTTGGTGTACAGGCACCATAAGACACCGACGTTCTTTCATCCTTTCGTCACCTTCCTTTACAAAGCGTCGATTCAATCCAAGCCACAAACCCAAAGAAGCGAGCTCGAACTTCATTTCCACCTCGTTCAAGTTCCCGATGCTCGCGAACGTTCGATCTGTTTGGCGAGAAATTGTCGCAACGCTATTTTCATAACAGCGTTCTAGACGTGGGATATAGAGGTTTTATAATAAACCAATAATCCGGCTGGTCCACGAGGGAAACGAGACTTTCAGGGCTCCATCTAGAGGAGCGAGAAAGCGCGGACAATTCATGGGCTCGAACAAGGGGGACGAAAGGATATAAACGCATTACGGAATATAACGAGCCGCTACCTTCGAGAAAATATTTCCTTCATAGAGTCCAAACAGAATCGATCGACCGGGACGTTTAAATCGTGGTTTGTTTTTCTTTTTTTTCATTTTTTTTATCCAATTTATTCTTCCAAAATTAACTTGACACGCGCGTTAAGTAGAAAACGCTCCGCGATTACGCTCCGCGCCAGGGTAACATCGACCTTGTTATTCAATGTGCTTTCACGCCAACAGAGCAAACGTCCGGTCGGCCACGTACATAAATTAACCGGAAATCTCTGCCGAGCTAATTATCGATGCAAACTCGTCGCGAGCCTGTCTCGCTTCGACCTCCGATAATATATCTATATATGTAGGCGTAGTATCGCGTCGATTGGATTGCAATCTCGTCACACCTGCTATCAATAGTAAACTTGTCAACGCGATTTCTATTAACGCATCGGAGAACGTTCGAGACGATAAGACACGCTGAACTCTCGATAAGGAACTGGGTCGACCGTCATCGGTGATCGCGTCGAATTTCGTTGTTCAATCGGACTGCTTTTCATCGGATATTTAAAAACTGCTTCTCTAGGAGAGAGAGAGAGAGAGAGAGAGAAGCTAAAAAAAAGTCAAAGGCCGAAAGCATGCGAAGAAGTTGCACGGAAACGAACTCAGCTTCTGAGCTTGACTGACAATGAGTTCGAAGCGACAATTAACGGAGATCGAAGATTAAGAAGATTCCTCACGGGTTGGGGAGCATTTCATAGGATTCTTCTCGCTACAAAGGGGTGGTTGACGTCGCAACGAGAGGAACTTGAATAATTCCGAGGGAACGTCTTTCCTCGTCGCGTTCAAAGGCGTTCCTTCTTCTATATCCGTAAAAGTGTACTTTGTTTCATTAAGCGATATATCTACGCACCCGCGGAACCGGGGCGAGAAAAAGAAAAAGAAAAAAAAAGAAAAGAAAAGGAAAGAAAGGAAGAAAATGTTTGCCTTAATTTCACATTCCTTTGTGTCGCACCTTGCCAACTCGACTTGATTCGCGCCAGCTTTAGTACATTAATATCACGGCAAGCATAAACTATTCTCGCTGTCATTTCGAATCCGGCGACGTTGTCTTCTTTTTTCTTTATTTTTTTCTTCTCGTACGATTCGGTTACCTTCTCTCGTTTCTCGTATCAACATCTCAATCGCATCACACGGAAGGAAAAATAATCAGCCGTTCGACAGAAACGTCGGGAATATATCGTCGGGTAGACAGCGTGTCTCGAGTAAGATGCTTTTGAAATTAAAAAAAAAAAAAAAAAAAAA